CGCCCACCCGACCCCGCCCCTTCCAGCCTCTCCCAAGTTCCTGCCACCGCCAACCTCCTCAGCACCGCCTCCCACGCCCCCTGCCCGCGCGCTTCGCAGACGGGAGCCCCTCTCTCACCCCCAGCCTAGGAGCTTCAAGCTCCTTAGGCTGAGGGACGTCCGCCCTGGCCTTCAGCCCCGTCCCTTCCGGCTGCCTGCAGACTTTGCCTGACTTATAATTCTTCTCCACCCCCACTGCCTGTCTCTTTAGACTCCCATTGTTACCAGCTGTACTCGTTGGAACTGGTCAGAGAGGTTCAGAGGACGAAGGCGTTCAGAGGTGTTGGGAGAGACGGCGGACCGCCCATAGGCACTTCCTAGGGCACTTCCGAGCCGTCTCTTGGGCATCAGGACCCACTAAGGACCTGGAGTCTACGGTTGCCTAGAAACGGCCGCTAGCCTCCCTGCCTCCCTCCCTCTTTTAACTTGCCGCCCCTGACTTCCCCGAGAGTATTTCCGGTTCCGGCTGTGGGCCGGAGAAGACATGGCGGCGACTGCGTCGGCGGCTGCAGGGGAGGAGGACTGGTAACTTTGGGGGCATGGGCTTTGGCTGGCCGCCTGGATCCGATCCGGGGGACTAGCAGTAGCCGCGGACGGTCCGTACGGCGGGCTTGTGGGGCGGAGCGAGGGATAAGGGATAACAGAGACGCTGACATGTCTTCCTAAGAGACCTTCTGTACTGGGGAGCAGGAGGGTGGAGGGGCACCGATCTGGTGGGAGAGGAGACCGGATCTGCGCCGGCCAGGCCAGCTCGGGCTGCGCCTTATCTGGCTTGATCCCCTCTTCTTCGGCCTCGCTCGTCCCATTGTCCTGAAGTGGATTTGTTCAGGGTCCCGGAGGATGCCTGCTTATTAGCTCTCCCCACCTCCCTTTTACCTCCCAGAACCGATGTCCTCCAGCCCCCCGACCCCCTTTCCCCTTGGATCAGCCTATTTCCGCCGAGGCTTTCCTCAGCCGTCTGTCCCCGACAGCACTAATGAGGACCGTTGTCTGAATAAAGCTTTACACCTCACAAAAAGCTCTCCTAGTCCCTCTCTGAAGCATTCTTAACAAGAGACCAAAGCCTGGAAGGACTCTGGGATTGGAAATAGGATAAATGTGGGTTCACTCCACATTTTATTAGCGTGTGATGCTGACCAAGCCACCCAGGTTCTGTGAGTCAGTGTCCTCAGATGTAAAAAAGTGGGTGTGGCATCTACCTCAGAATAGTTGATAGGATCAGGGTGGATTTGTAACATAAAAGCCTCCTTTTTGTAACTGAGGTGTGGGCCCCTGAGGGGCCTAGATGAGGCCTGAAGAGGTAAATCGATTTGCTAAAAAGGTACATAGTTATGACTAGGAATCCAGGTTGTCTGACTCCATGAATCTTAGTTTTTAGTTCTAGGACATTATACAATCCCCCTGCCCCCCTTCCTTTTTTTTTTTTTGTCACCACCTTACCATCATCCCATTCCATACCTCACATCCAGGGCCCAAGTCCCAGCTAGGGTGGGTGAAGTATTGAAGGGCCTCTTGATGGAGGTTACACTTCAGTGTTTTGTTGGTTCAGGGAGGCCAGCCAGTGTTGGCCTTTTTGAGACCACCTGGGCTCATCGTTTTCACCTTGTTCAGCGGAACTTTTAAGATTCTGAGGAGACACTTTGAGCCATGGAGAGGGCAGTAGTGATCGCACAGCTAGCTTGTGCTCTGAGACTCCCACACTTATGTCAACCAAACTACTCCACAGTTATCTGTGCTATATTTTGAGGTGTCTAAGACTTAAAAAGAAAATTTGAGAACCAGTAATATATGGGTCATGCTAGGGCAACCCTGCTCTTGATGAAGAAAGAACAATATAAGAAAGGAAAGCAAGCGTGCATCTTTACATGCATTACCTGGGTAGAGCTATGGACTCGAGCCTATCACTAACTTTCAGTGTCATTACAACGGCTATTTCTATAATTAAACATGTATGTCCTCTCATTTACGTCAAGACCACCAGATCCTGACCTAAACAGGTTGATCTAAATCAACCAGATAACAAGGGTCAAAAATACATTGAATACTAACTATATCCTTCCTTCTTTCCTTTTACGGGAGAAGGTTATATACAAATAGGAGAAAAGAGAACATAGACTAGCTACTATGGCCAAGATATTATTAGGTACTTTCATAAACAACTTTTTATCCTCGCAACAACCCTGGAGAGTAGGTGGTATTATCTATATATGGTAGACAGTGTGACTCAAGCTTACAGAGATACTTACTCAGATCATGTAGCTGGTCAGTGATTGGTACCTATTACTCCCAAGCTGATGGCTCTTCTGCTACATCACGGCCTTTAATACCACCTCGATCTCTTTTTCTGTTCAGTTGGTATCTCTGAGTAGGCTTAGGGCAACTGATATTGGCAGTATGTGTAGACGCTGGGATCCATGTGAACAGTGGTGTAGGGAAAGCCAGGAGTGGTATTGGTAACCTTGATGTGAACCAGTGGACATCTTATTTCTGGGTCAGAGAAATGGCCAACCAGCAGCGCGATGCAACTTAAAACAGGGAGTCAGGAAACCTGGCTCTGGTTCTAGTTCTGCCTTTGTTAAACTTTGATATTTGAGCTAGTCATTTCACCTTCCCGGGAATCCATTTCCTCATCTATTGACAGAAATGGTCCCTTAAACTCTGATTCCCATGCTTCCTACCTGGCCGCTTGACAACTTAAGAAAACATATTTCCCCTATTTCTGTGGAGGTTAGCAAGAGCATGCACTCAGGCAGATTGCCAGTTTTCTATAAAGCCAGCCTTCATGGGCTCTAGCAGGCTTTAACGGGGAGAGCTATAATGGTGAGTCAGTCTCCTCCTGTCTCCCTAGGGTACTTCCCTCTGAAGTCGAGGTGCTAGAGTCTATCTATCTGGATGAACTACAGGTGGTTAAAGGAAACGGCAGGTACGTATTCGACGAGAGGTGGGCAGGAGTCCCCTTAGTAATGAGAGAATTCCATGCAGAATCCACGAACCTTGATTCAGAGAAAATGTTCTCATGGAGACAAAGACGACTTCTTTAATCGCCCCCAAAAGAAGGAGCCCGGTGCTCACTTCCTCTACCTGCTTTACTGTTTCACCCCCATCTTCCCCGGTCCTCAAACTCCTGCTCAATCACATGCCCGGTCCCCACTTCATCCACCTGCAGATCTTCACCGTGGGAGATCTCCATCACCCTGCACCCTGCCACTGCAGAAGACCAGGATTCACAGTATGTGTGCTTCACTCTGGTGCTTCGGGTCCCAGCACAGGTGAGGCCCCTGCTTCACGGCAGCAAAGGGAGGAAGGGGAGAGGCCCTGGGGTGGAGTGCTTTAGCAGTAACGTTATTTCCTCCCACTAGTACCCCAATGAGGTGCCACAGATCTCTATCCGTAACCCGCGAGGACTCTCAGATGAACAGATCCACAAGTAAGTCGGGCCGGTCAGAGCAGGGAAAACGGGATACAGCTCAGTCTGGTGAGAGGAAGGGGCAAGCCTAACGTTTGCTTTGCCCTTTTCCAGGATTTCACAGGCACTGAGCCACGTGGCCAACGCTGGGCTGGGTACTGCTATGCTCTATGAACTCATCGAGGTAAGAGGTGTGCTAGCTCGGGAAACTGTGAGAGCCGTTTCTCTCAAGGGAGGTAGTGGGCCCAGAATCTTAAATACCTCTGGAGTCATACATTCAGTTAGTCCTTGTTTAGGTGAGGCCTAAATCCAGAAGGAAGATTTTCTTCTGCTTCCAAGAGCTCCCCCCGGCAAAAGACAGTTCTGTAGCTTCCCCAAGCGGCCGCCAGTATCTTGAAAACGACTTTTCGTGTTTAACTTGGATTTTTCTTGATTCCGTTTCAGTGCATTCTCTTGGCACTGGCAACCAAAAGTAGCCAGAGATAGGGACCTTGCCTAGAGGGTCTCGCCACGGACTACATTTGAAGGCTAGCCTGCCTTTGGAGCGGACTGAAAACGTCCTGGTTCTTTCACTCAGAGCCTCTACCCTAATGAAGTTAACAACCCACAGGGACCACCCTGAGCTACAAGTTCACGTACACAGAAAACTTCTGTTGCTTGAGATTAAAAACACACAATTAAGTACAGTCTTGTTTTCCTCAACTTTAAGTTTTGAAGAAAAATGTCCAGAGAAGAATGAAGGTGGGCGGCCTGGAGTCAGAGGGTGGGCTTAGAGCGCTATAGTGCTCCTGAGGCCGGCCTCCACGATGCAGCATTGAGCTTTGTGGAATTCCAGAGTATTAGCTATTCAAACAGCAGTGCACACGAGTTAGTTCATAGCCCAACTCGATGCCTTTGAGTTCTCTGTCGTTGGGGCTGTCCATGCCTTGACTTTTTCTGAAAGCTGCCTCCAAGAACAGCCTTTTGGGGGGAGTGATAATCAGAGGGGGTGAACCAAGGAAGGCATCCCAGAAGATAGGAGTGTCAACAGGACATTTTGTTCTCCCCGGGTATATCATTTTCATGCCTGATATGTATTAAAGGTGACAGAATGCGTGGAGAAACAGTGAAATCGGATTTTGCAGCTGGGTGGATGGGGCAGGAGGGGCAGGGACATGGAGGATTGATTCCAGGCAGAGGGAGTCTCATCAAGACAGGCGGGAACACAAAGTACCACTCCAGCTTGGTAGGAGACGGTCCCACGGTCACTCCTGGGAATAAGTGACGGGCTTTGTGCACAGTTCTTGCCCCTGCCTCCCTGTTTGAACAGTGTCTTCTCTCCTCTCAGAAAGGGAAGGAAATCCTCACAGACAACAACATCCCCCATGGCCAGTGCGTCATCTGCCTCTATGGTTTCCAGGTGGGGTTCTCTCTTGGGACCTGGGGTCAGCCCGCGACGGGCAGCAGAGGGCTCACGAGAGCTTTGGCGCCATGCCCTGTGTCTGTCGTCCCTTCAGGAGAAGGAGGCCTTTACCAAAACACCGTGTTACCACTACTTCCACTGCCACTGCCTCGCTCGGTACATCGAGCACATGGAGCGTGAGCTGCAGGCTCGAGGCCAGGAGCAGGAGCGGCCGCACGCCGCAACCAAGCAGGTCAGCGCGCCAGCCCTGCGCCCCCCCGGCCCCCTGCCTCACACGCTTTTCTGTCCCCCCGCTCCAGTGGCTGCTCACCTTTTTAGGGTCACAGATACCCT